ATTATAGCATTCACACTTTGTGATGTATGCCACAGAAAAATCGAGACACCATCATCAAGCCTTGCCAAAAAAGTTTGTTAGCCCCCCATGAGACCAATATTTCATCACCGCCAATGAAGTACGGGAAACAAAATGAGGCAAAAGCACTGCATTCGTACAAAGTGCTTATGCACAGAAGTCGTCAAAATGCAAAATTTAATGAAGCAGGGCTTCTGGTTTCCCAGCAACGTTTTTCTTGCTGCCATGCCAGACATGCTCGTCGAGTGTTCGTGCTGTGGAAAAAGCCTTGTTGAGGTAAAACGTCCTAGGTCAGTGAGAGAAGGCAAGCTGAGTGACCTTGCTTGGCAGTAAAGTTTTGTCACTGAAAACAAAGGTGCACTTGAGCTAAGATCCGCACACCGTTGCTTTTACAAAGTGCAAACACACACAGATGTGTGGTAGCGGACAGTACTGCAATTTAGCGATCTGGAACAAGAATGACACAAGCATACAAAAGACCACAGCCGATCAAGCGTTTTTAGCTCCACATCTTGATACTGCTGCAAATTTCTTTTGCTGGGCTCCGTTGCTTGAGCTAGTGGCACATTGGTTCACAGCACAGAAGGAAAACACAGCGGCAACAAATGAACTGGCCCCTGTAAATACATCTTTGGACCAAGGTACTAATGACCCGAATAGGAGTAATGTGTTCTGTTTGTGAAAGCGCCCAGAGGTGCGCTGAAATGATTAAACGGTTTAAACTGCCCAGTCGCATGGTTTCACTTCAAGTCTGTAGACCTGAAGAGAGCCCCTAAATGTAAGAAATTGTATTGTGACCAATGCAACTGATGGCCACATTATCACTCAAGTAATTCACTCAAGGAACTGTAATAAGGATCTAGAATATGTTCATGTTGGATCTTAATATGAGCACAATGTAGCAAGGTGCATTTCATAATGCAGAAATAAATGATGCAAAAATATGCGAATAAAAATATTTTATTGAAAACACTCCGAAGACTTGCATTGTGTTTTATTAGCGACAGGCGATAAAACACAGCACAAAGGCACCACAAAACTTATGCAGGGTATTTACAAACAAATATAACATGACTGGTGGGTTACTTGGTGAGCCACGATGCATAATAAAGCAGCACACATAAGGACACAAACATGCACACAACAGTAGACGCTAACACAAGTGCTGTACTGCAACTTATGCATTACTGTTGAAGACCTGCCTTATGCAGGAAGACTTAAACCTACGCATTGACAGCAGTGAAATATTAAAACTACAAAAACCAAATAACAATACCTTGGTTTGGCCGAAGTTGGTTCATACTGCAAGAAAATTAGATGACGCAGACCAACGGAGAAATATAAGCGAAAGGAAAGAGCGTTCTTTCCTCTCGCTTATTCTTCCCTATGAATTTCACGTCTTAATTTTCTTCTAAATTACAAATTGCCCTGAAAGGACAAGTTTCTGGTAAAAAAAAACAAAAAACAAACAAGCAGTACATGATTATATACCAAGGTATCAACACACTTTTTTACAGAATGATAGCAAGGGGCAACTGACACATTTGTCTTTCGATGTAGCGTCCTTCATTACCTCGTTAATCAGTCTTGTTAATACTAGGCTGCTGTCAATGCACAGGCCTGTGTTGCCCTGCATAAGGCGGGTCTTTTCACGAAGCATCAGTTGCAGGACAGCGCTTGTGCTCTACCACAGTGATCTAGTTGTTATAGCACTCTAATGCTGACCTGAAGGTCGTGGAATCAAATCCCAGCGACTGGCAACTGCATTGTCGATGGAGGCGAAAATATTGAAACCCTGTGCTTAAATTTAGGTGCACGCTATAGAAATTTCTGGAGCGCTCTCCTACAGCGTTCCTAATAATCGTATCGTAGCTTTGGAACATTAACCCCAGATATTATATTACAACATTGCTTGCGTCAACTTTTGCGTGCATGTTGATGTCTAAATGTGAACTGCTTCACTACAAAGTAAGCCTGCGGATCCTGCGATAGGATTACTCAAAAGGCACAAATGAATAGCAGATTCGTGAGGGCACAGTAGACACTAGAAATCTTGCAAATTTGGCACTCTTCATGTGCACTGACTAGTAGTACTTCAATTGGCATACATTTGCTATTTCTCCAGTCTTTTCGATGCTTGCACTCGAAAGCTGACACTTCCCTTTCGTTGAATGCTGGCATGGCAAGTGTTGCATGACACATGCCAACGCTCTCGGCAACCAAAAAGTCTTGGTCTGCTAGAACCACATCATCGTACTCTAGATTATCAAGAGCTCCACATTCTTCAGTGATGTGTTTGTCACTGGCACGCCCACCATGGGACTCTCACAAAAAAGACAGAACCTGAGGGCATATTCTAACCAGAAACTTGACCATGTTGTGATGCTTGTAGTGAGACCACGAGACCACGTCTCAGCATGAGGCAAGTATGACATCGGACGGTCGTTGAAAACTTTTAAAAAATCAAGTATGACTGCAAACCTTGGAGCCAAAGTTGTCAAGAAAAGCCACAGGCATTGTCTTCATTATTTGTTCTTTCTCTGGCCAACGAACAAGGGGTTAAATTTTGTCAAAAAACAGATCAAGCCATTTCTAAAAAATTCTTGATGCTGTTGACAAGGAAACGCCACAGCAAAATGCTAAATCATTAAATTCTTATCCAAGCTGCAACCTCATGAGAAATCACATAATTTCTTGCAATTGTGACAATGAGTTTTTTCCTGTGTGCGCCATGTGGCTCTTAACTAGCTCAAAGAAAGACGCAAGTGTACCATATGATGGTAGTTCAGTGTAAAATGTGACCTTGTCAGTTTTTACCTCGCAAGGCCTCCCTGGTAAAACACGCTGATAAAGCTGCAGTTTTCGTTTTTTCATGCTCCACATTGCAGGCTGGAGATAAGTGCTTGCATCTGATCAATTTCGCTTACACAGAGCTGTTTGGCAGATACTGCCAGGTAGCTTCTGATGAAAATAAAAGAAAAAGTTGTATTTTTTTCCATCACTACATTTGAACTTGCTTCTGGGCATATAAATTGCACTGTAGCAAAAAGAAAATAATAATAATCGCCAAAAAAGCTTGTGTTCTTTCAATCTAGGCAAACTTGAAAATCACGTACCAACTGCCAAAGGAGTTGGCTTGATTTCTGCATTGTGTGTCCGCGAGTACCTCATTGCGTCAGGTTCGTCACCATCGTCATATTCGTCAACGTGGTTTCGAATCCCATCCATGGAAAGAAATGACATGGCTTCATGAAAAGAAATGACATGGCTTTCACAATTTCGAAAATGTACGCATAACGTGAAACCACGCCCAAGGAGCTCGAGGCCTGTTCACCTGTGTGTTGTAAGCCTTCCTTGCGATGGCGATAGCGGTACTTGTTTAGCGATGGAAACCCTGTAACCTAGGCTCACCAGAGGTGCCCAGTCGAGTTGCAGTCAGTCGAATAGGTTTGTCGGCCGACCTGGGAGGTCATGAGTGTGAAGGTTTTACGAAATTGCATGACGAACACAATAATACTTCACTGCAAATGCTCTCAGTGTCAACACATGTTCTCAGCCTGTCTATGTTGTAAAGCACGGCACTCAAAAAATTAATAAATGATCCACTAGATTCAACGATAACCGGCAGAGCAGATTGATTTGTGATGAACTGTTCACGTACCTGACATGAAGTGGCCAGAACAGACGAAACAGTTGTCGGCGTGAGCTTCTTGAATGCCACATCTGTTGACGCACAACAACCACTCACGCCGCCGGCGCTCCCGCACCCATGTGAGTGAATCTTTAGGATTTTGAAGTAACTGTAGTCTTTCGTACCTGTCTTTAGCTTCTATGCCTTGCTTTGGCTGTGACTATTGCAGCCTATAATTACACAGTGCACCATTACGTCTCCAGGCAGTGCCGACGCCACGAAAACGACTGCGCCGCCTCAGCTACCTCCGAAAAACATTGCTGCCGACGCAGAATGCATAGCGTCGCCACCCTTCATGCAAGCTCCCTAACTGCTTGATAGCTCCAAGAAAAGCCAATCAAGTTAATGCATTGTACTTGGCAGAATTAATACTTCTGTGCCAAGGTGTTCATTATGGGCACAATCTTATTTGCATGATAAAATGAAACATTCGTGCTTGTCATGTACAATAGGTCAACGCCTGCATGAGCGTCCCTGTCGTAGTGCGTACGTGGAACCCTCGACCAATCCCGTATGGCGAGGGCAAATGTTGTACAGTGCGGTATAAGGCAATGCATGTGCAATGAACGTCCGGTAATTTGAGCGATATTCCCAGGTACGTACTAAAAGGGCTAACTGCATATTCGTCCTGTGTTGAACCTACGATTTTTGCCACTCATCAGACAATCAACAAATCGACATTTTTTTTTGCGCATGAGGGTACTGCAGACAACCGTAGTACAGCTGGCGAATCTACATCGGAGGTACTAATTTCCAAAACTGCATACCCGTGGATGCTTACCAGATTTTTGTGGCCCATTGGGAAACCACTATATAATTGCAAATAAACATGTGACATTTGCAACGATCTTTTGCAACGATCAAATCGTTGCAACAACCGTTGCAACGATTTGCAACGGTTGTTGTAGATCGTTGCAACATGCAACGATCTACAACAACCGCTATTGATAAAGCACGGACAGTTGAGCATGCGTTAAATGTCGCTCCTGCGGGGCATGACGTAGACAATTGGAACAACTTCTTATGCAGCCATTCGACCACGTAATACCGGGAATGCACGGAAATCGTTCACGAGTGTTCACGGAAAAGCTCACGAGTGTCCTATTTTTTGGATGCACTGCGGCACACCATTCGGCGAGCATGGTGTGTAGAGCGCGAGTGCGAACACTACCACGCACTGCCATACAAGAGGGGGCAATTAGATTTCACTAGCACTGACCTCTTTTTCTTCTTCCTTTCACAATTTAGACAGCTTCCAGCACGGCAATGAAAATGTACGCTTACGCCTATATGTATGAGAATTTCCTTTATTATACACCAATTTTTCACACAAATATAGCTGTCAACTAAATGCCTCTACGTTCTTAGTGGCATTTTTCTTGCACGGACAAGTGCATTTGTCAATCAAAAATGAAACTGCAGCATGAACAAAAATGAAAAAGTGAGAATAAGAAATAAATGTACTATTTCACTTGGCAACAGCTGTTGCTTATACTTATTATCACAGTAGCATAAAAACTCCACTGTGAAACGGTCTTAGGCCCACACAATGAAAAGATCTGCACAGAAAGATTGTGCACATAAAGGAACAATGTTTTCAAGTATAATCTGCATATTCGAGCTACACAACTACGAAATTGCTGTGCATTGCAACTTGCCCGGCAATAAGCCTACTACAACTGCCCTCACGTAAACCACATTTCCACAGTCGTTCTCCATGTTGAAAAAAACTTCTGGGTGAAATTAGTACCTTGGGAGTTTCACATATTTGTGATAGAATGGTAGTATTGTTTCTTCATCATGGTTGCATTTTCATACCTTGATGCATAAATGCTGCGGATGACTATCTACATAACCATTTACACTGCTAGGGTCACTGAATCATACGCGTCACAAGGCGAGTCGTGGTCATCACAACGCAATTTTCACCAAAATCCCCTATTGCCCTCTACAGAGTTCGCATACGTGATGCACATCCTTTATCTAGAAGAAAGAACATCACACTGTGCACACCAAAAAGATGAGCCCCCAACATACTTTGGTGGTGGCAGCTTATATTTCTTATAGGGAAGCAGTCAAATGCAAAATGGAAGGTCTGACACTCAAATTCAGGTTGAGGTACTCACAAGAACTTTGCTTCGTTTTGAATGACTGAGTACTTTGTGGCTGGTGTAGGATTTTTAACCTGAGTGCATTGACAACAGACAAGGGTGGTCAGACATAGCGAATCATATCCCCACATTTTGACATTTCTATTGTGTACGCAGGCGTCGGTGTTTGACAAGGTGTGCGACCCGTGCAAATGATTTGCCACGTGTTCTGCTGTTGTAAGGCTTCTCGGGCATATGATCGAGTCGGTGAACGGCAAGCTTGCTCAGTTTAAGGAATGACTAGCCGCATGTTTTAAAATGTGAGGTGTCTTTCCCGTGTGTGTGCATTTGTGTCTAACAAGAGATGCTCTCTGTGCAAAAGACTTGCCGCATGTTGTGCACGTGTGCAGGTTCTCATCCATGTGCATGCGTTGATGAAGGAATAGCTTGTCCGACCTCGCGAAGGACTTTTCGCAGATTTTACAGACGTGAGGTTTCTTTCCGGTATGCATGAGTCGATGGCGGGAAAGCTTGTCCGATGTGGCGAAGCACTGTTGACATGTTTTGCACTTGTAAGGCTTAAGTCCCGTATGTGTGCGTTGATGAAGAAAAAGCTTGTCCGACCTCACAAAAGACTTTCCGCATGTTTTACAGTTATAACGTTTCTCTCCGGTATGCGTGAGTCGATGACGGGAAAGCTTGTCCGACCTCGCGAAAGACTGTTGACATGTTTCGCACTTGTAAGGCTTAAGTCCCGTATGTGTGCGTTGATGAAGAAAAAGCTTGTCCGACCTCACAAAAGACTTTCCGCATGTTTTACAGTTATAACGTTTCTCTGCGGTATGCGTGAGTCGATGACGGGAAAGCTTGTCCGACCTCGCGAAAGACTGTTGACATGTTTCGCACTTGTAAGGCTTAAGTCCCGTATGTGTGCGTTGATGAAGAAAAAGCTTGTCCGACCTCACAAAGGACTTTCCGCATGTTTTACAGTCGTAAGGTTTCTCTCCAGTATGCGTGAGTCGATGGCGGGAAAGCTGGTCCGACCTCGCGAAAGACTGTTGACATGTTTCGCACTTGTAAGGCTTAACGCCTGTATGCATGCGTCGATGAATGACGAGAAGACGTGATTGACCGAACGACTCACCGCATGCTCTGCAATTGTAACGTTTCTCTTCAGCATGCGCACTTTGATGAACTGCAACTTTCTCCATCATACCGAATGATTTCTCTCTTTTTCTTAAATTGTAGCGTTTTTTTCCATCATCAGTGCACTGAGGAGTGACCAGTTGTGCTACTTGTTCGAAGGATTTGTCGCACACTGCGTAGTTGCAAGGTCTGTCTGTATGTGAGCGTTGGTGAATGACGAGAAGGCGTGCTCGACCGAACGACTTACCGCAAGCTTTGCAATTGTAACGTTTCTCCTCAGCATGCACACTTCCATGAACTGCAAGTTTCTCAACTATACTGAATAATTTCTGTCTTTTTCTCAAATTGTAACATTTTTTTCATCGTCAGTGCACTGAGGAGTGACCAGATGTACTATTTGTTTGAATGATTTGTCGCTCACAGCGTAGTTGCAAGGCCCATCTCCAGTGTGCGTATGTTTATGCAGGATAAGCTGCTCCGATTCCCGGAGTTCCTCACTGGACGTTTTGCATTCGAAGGGCGTTTCAGTCGTATGCAATGTGCGGTGCTTCGCGAGGAAATTGAAATACCTAAACGATTCGCCACACGTCTTGCACTTGTAGCGGTCCTGCGATGAGTCCTGTGAGCTATCATTGTCAATGCCGAGAACCGAGTCATCCAGCTGGTTGGTTTTCCTGCGTCCGGTAGCATACCTACGAGTTGCCAAACGAACAAATTTAAACAACCAGCTCAATACTCTGCACTCTCACGTTAAGAGAGCAGCACGTTTGTCATAGTAGAAGCCTTGAGTAACTAATAAAATATTCTACCAGAAAAGCTTTTTACTTCAGTGTACTGGAGGGAAACAGCCCGAGAGACACACCGAGCGAAGGACACATACAACAGCGCTGACTTTGAACTTTTGGTTTATTCGTGAAACCACGCATTATGTACTACTACAGTTGAAACGAAAAGAAACAAACTTAACAGTCGATACTTGAAATATCAAAATCACCCTTAAAAACATGCTCATTGCACATGCACTTAATTTGATAAAAGCCAAACCTCATTTTCCGAGAAGACAACTGAAAGCCTCTTATCACCAGGGAATCCTCACTTAATTTGTCAGATAATGACGTGTTTTTATCAGGTTTATTGCACTTATAATGAGCATGTTTTTTATGACGTTGATATTTCATCTATATTACACTTTCATTTTTGTTTTTTTTTAGTTTCCACCAGACATGTATATAGTGGGTGCTTTGACAAACTTTTTTGCAACTCAGCGTTATTGTATGTGTCCTTTGCCTGGTCTCTTGTCTTTGGCGCAGTTTCCCTCCAACAGGTCATAAGAACACGCCCAAGCAACCAACCATTTTAGCTTAACTGGAATTCTGGTGAGGATTGACTGTCATTTCCGATTTTTCTAAGAGGTTGTTATGACTTTACATTGTGTTAATTTAAACAAAAATATTATGTTTTTAGGTTTCGACAACTCCTGTAGAAAAGTGTGTATCACAAATACAAATATGCGCTCATTATGTTAACGACTGCCACTGCATCAACCGGAGCGCGAGATAGTTGTAAAAACGAATGTTGTAAGCTGAGAACAGTAGTGAATTTAAGGCATTTTATACGCTGAATCTTTTCTCTTGTGAAGGGGTTCTTCCATTTTGATCATAACTCAACCACACACAATGTTCCACGCATACTTTATGAGAAGCTCCTTTGAGAAGAACTCTTCAAAAGTTGGACTCACGTAGCATTGTTTACAGAAGTAGGTGAAACTTCCTCCATTGCAGCGTGAGTTGTACTGGAAACTGCGTCACCGGCTTGCAGTGTTGTGGATGCCGGAAGTAACGTGCACCTACTGTCTTGTCCTGCCAGTTCTGTGCATTCTGAAATATCAGGCATTGATTGGCGAATGTTAGAAAATAATTCTCGATGCTGGAGCTCTCAGTGATAAGAAAAACTTTTAAGCCAAGTAACCCTCCTGCAAAGTCTTATCTGAAGCGTCGTGCTTTGTGAGCATAAACTTGGCATTAACACCTTCAAAGTGTAAAGTGATGTCAGTGAAGAGCTTTAGCACAACTAGCAGAAGACTGAGCAATGTATAAATGCTTGGCACATTGACAAGGCAGATTGAGGAGACTGAGGACTCGCTCTTAACAAAAATGGGTCCGCCTAAACGAACGTCAGAAAGTGATGCTTTGATTACTGTTAAAGCAACCATGCACCGCATGAGGTTATAACGAGCCATAGTATACAATTAGATTTGACACTGGAAAACAATAATCAGTGACGCTAAATCAATCTACACAGTAGAAATGGCTTCCTATAGGATGCATGGGGAAGACCATTTCTATGGTACTGTTCCGGTCAAAGACATTTCCACGCAACACATACCATGGTATGAAGACGTGCAGGCGGTCGGGCTCTGTAAGGCATACGAAGAGTTTTTCAGGAACCCTGCAGGCACACAAAGCTCAACGGTCAAATGTATAGTATCAAGGTCAATTCAACTAGGATCATGCAAACGGCTTTATGGATGCAACACTTTTTAGAAGAGGAAATTATGACGCAACTGATACGCTAATACAGTCATTGCTGACACATAAGGCATGCATAGTGATAAGCTTTGGCCAGAATAACGTCACAGAAGGATGTGAAGCGAAATTTGAAAATATGCCACAGTCCGAGAGCTGGAACAAAGCACCTGTCATTCCTACAAGGCAATGGTGTCAGGCTGGTGTGGTATCTATAGCGGCAGCATGCTAGCATTGTGACAAAATTATATAAGCTGTAAAAAGAACCAGGCACTATCACATTACAGCAACATCACAGCCTCTATACGACAATTTCACGAATGAAAGAATAGCTGATACTTATGCTTCAACACAGTACAGCCTTTGTGGCCTTCGCAATCTCGTGAACGTTCGACTAACCCTGCATCATTGTCCAGAGTGCCCGCTGGTTCAGCCATGGTCATGCGGCTCCCACTGGGCTTGCCTTCAAACGCCTGGCTGCTGTCAACAGGATGTTGGAAGCCAGGGCTTCCTTCTTTGCTCCTGTCTGTGTGCGAATAAATAGGGATGATTGTTCGGCACTGAACAGAAATGTCTCAGTTTTTTTTTTAAATAACTAGTCCTGCACATTCAAAGTAACGGGCATAGGCACTCTCTGCCATAACGGCTGAACTACCTCGCATACGCACCACAGATGGTAGGTGCTTCATAGTCCAAGTCGGACTCGTGACTTCGGTCATCTTCAGTGCTGCCAGGACTCCTACAGACACGCAAGCGTACAATTTCTTGTCAGTAAAGCTTCAGCAGTACGTGCAAGCGAAACACTTTTGTGTAAAAAAGAGAAGAAAAAATTTTCGAAGGTAAGCTTACAGGAGCTGGGTTTTAAGGCCTGTTCCTTTATTTATACCAACAAAAAAGAAACCTAAGAAATATTTATCTGAACGGGAATATTCAAGACGAGAAACCCCCTCAGAACTGACAGAGTTCGGGCCACTAGAAAAATTGAAAAAAATACCAAGCTCTTATAAAGCACATGCACTGGCGACGCCCTGTGGCAGCTGTGGCAAAGGGACTATACACTGAGACCTTGTTATAACGAAGCGGGATATAACAAACCAATGGATATAACGAAGCAATAGTAATTCCTCTTGAAATTTCCATAGACGACCACGTATTTAAAAGCTCATTTTAATGAAGCGAAAATTTCCCCACAATAGATATAACACACCATTCCTCGTTCATAATGAGCATGTACTGATCATTTTGGTATAGATCGATTCTCAATACAGTGAAATCTCATTTATTCGAGCACGCTCAATTCGAACTTCCTATTCATTCGAACTCACGATGAGGTACCGTCAAAGCTATGTGTATTCCAATGGGCAAAAACGCCCGGTAATTCGAATGCCAAAGCACTTTCGACAGTTAATTCGAACAAAGCACGCTCCGCAAATGCTCCCAGCACCCTGCCCAATCCTGCGGCAGCACCTGCGACACCTCAACGCTGCCCGCGAAGGAGAGAAAAGGCTGCGCTGAAATGTTTGCTCTCTCTCAAATTCCGATCTGAGACGCCCCCGTGTCACACTTCTCCCTTTTCTGTCCCTGCGACGTAAAAACCCTTCTCCTTCCAACGCCGAGCGCAAGTGAGAGAGGAAAAAAGAATGAAAGATCTCGCTGGGTCGAATGAATGTGTGTGACTGAAAGAAATGAAAAAGGCACGATCTTCTGCAGCCCTTGCCCCTTGTGGGAGCATGGCTCTGCGCCTTAAGGGGGGTCTCTCACGCCCCGGTGCCACGATTCCCCCTTTACCGTCCCTGCCACGTAACCCTTCTCCTTTCAACGATGTGTGTGAAGAGGGCAAAAAAAAAAAAGCAGTCGTGGAGTGTTGGTTTTCTCTCAAATGCAGTTCTGCTTCTCTCCACGTGGAGACGCTCCTCCTTTCTCGTCACGTGCTGGCCATGCTGCGGCTGCGTAGCGGAGAGCGGGAGGCTCCGCTACGCAGTCGTTGCTGTCATCTTTTGAAAGTGCCGGCGCTGGACATTTCCGCGCACAGCTTCTCTTACCAGGAGAATGCTTTGCAAGCTGCGTGCGAAATTGATTGACTCGCTGCAAGGCAAGCGTGTGCAGACGTGCATCACCGATTACTTCAATTATTAACGGATGTCCTGTGATTTGTGAATAAATGTAAGTCTTCTGAAACTTCCACCTCGTGTGTTAGCTCAATGCACATGTGCCACTGCATGGAGAACCCTCCAGTTTATTTAGCTTTCATTAATGCCAAACTTATATTTAAAACGAATTTTCGGGCCCCTTCGAATTCAAATTATCAAGGTTCGACTGTATCTTATAGCACGTGACGGTTTACCTCTCATCACGGCTACGGTAATTAAAAACTCGCGCCTTGCGCTTCCCAGGAGCCGCTTGCACACACGCATGCTGGAGCACCTCTGGAACTAATGAACTCGCCCCCTCAGCAACTCGCGCGAGCGTGCGCGTCAGTCAGGCCTCCCCTCTCTTGTAGAACTCGCTGACCGGCCCGGGCATCTGACCTTTTTCTTCCCATCAAGGCAGGACTCAGCACCAGGACGGTGGAGATTGGAGACTGTGACATTGTTCGATGTCATTTGCTATGAAAGAGCAACACCACCCGACTTACGGCGAATGCATAGTGATAAGTTTGGCCAGATTAACGGTCACAGGACAATGTGGAGTGAAAATTTAAAGTACGCCACAGTCCGAGTAGTAGAACAAAGCGCCAGTGATTCCTACAGGCAGTGGTGTGAAGCTGGTGTGGTATTTTTAAGAATAGCATGCTAGCATGGCGTCAATATTATAGTAACTGTAGAAAGAACCACTCGGTATCACGTCCCAAGCGACATCACAATTTCTATTACAAAACAAGTTCCTGAATGAAAGAAAAGCTGATACTTATGCTTCAACACAGCACGGCCTTTGTGGTCTTTGCAATCTCGTGAACGTCCCACTTACCCTGCATCATTGCTCAGAACACCCACTGCTTCGTCCATGGTCATGCGGCTACCACTGGGCTTGGCATCGAAGACCTGGCTGCTGTCGACACGATGTTGCAAGGCAGGACTTCCGTTCTTGCTGTCTGTGTGCAAACAAATACAGATGGTCGTTCGGCACTGAAATGAAACGTTTCAGTTTTTCTATTTCTTTTTCAAATACTGGTCAGGCGCATTCTAAGCTAATAGGCATTCTTTACCATATAGCAGCTGAACTACTTCGCATACGTACCAAAGATGACAGGGGCTTTGTTGTCCGTGTCACACAAATTGTCATTTCTGTCATCCCCAGTGCTGCCAGGACTCCTACAGACACGCAAGCGTACTACTATTATCGGTCAGTAAAGCTAGAGTAGAACGTGCAAATGAAACACTTGCGAAATAAAATAGACAAAATTTTCGATGTCAAGTCTACAGTACCTCTGTTTCAAGGGCTAGTCTTTGATTGATACTGACAACAAAGAAACTGAAGAAATATTTATCTGAAAGGGAATATTTGAGACGAGAAACCTCTGTCAGAACTGGCGAGTGCGGGCCCCTTGAAAACTTGAAAAAAATCCCAACTCTTATGAAGACACATGCATTGGCGAAGCCTTTTGGCAGGTGCGGCACAAGGCCTATAACAGGGACAGTCACAAACGACAGGTTCTCGTATCAACATAGAATGTGGGAATTTCTATGTCTAGCGCCACATGCCGCTACCGCTGTTAGGTGCTCCGTAGTTGCCTGATATTACGTAGCTGTCGCAAGTAGCGTAGTTGCCAATCATCACTGTTGCTTCGTGGCAGGGAGACAACTCAAACATATGGGACAGTCTGCGACTTCCAATTCATACCAACATGCCTAAGCAACCAATTATTTATCTTCACTAAAATTCTGGCTGAGCATTGACAATCATTTACTTTTTATTAGAGGTTGTGATGACATTACATCGTGTTAATGTAAACAAATTTAATAAGTGTATAAGTTCTCACAACTTCTGCTGAAAATTGTGTATCCCATAAAGAAATATGAGCTGACTATCTTAGCAATTTCCAGTGCAGTCAGCCGGAGCGAGAGATAGTTGCAAAAGCAAATGTCGTATGCTGAGATCAGCAGTGAATTTATGGCATTTTATACGCTGAATCTTTCCTTTAATGGAGGGGTTCTTTTGTTTTCAGCATAACTCAGCCACAGGCAACGCTTCGTGCAAACCTTACGAGACACTCCTTTATGCAGAATTCTTCAAAGATTGGACTCACGTTCTGTTGTTTACGGAAGTAGGTGAAACTTCCTCCATTGCAGTGTGGCTTGGGCTCGAAACTGCGTCACTGGCTTGCAGTAGTTGTGAATGCCGAAAATGATGTGTAGCTACTGTCTTGTTCCTGCCAGTTCTGTGCATTCTGAAATATCAGGCATTGATTGGCGAATGTTCGACAATAATGCTTGATGCTGGAGCACTCAGTGCTAAGAAAAACTTTGAAGCCGAGTAACCCTCCTGCATAGTCTCATCTGAAATGTCGTGCTTTGAGCACCCACCTAAGCTTGGCATTAACACTTCAAAGTGTAAAGTGATCACACTGTAGAGCTTTAGCACAACTAGCAGAAGACTGAGCATTGTATAAACCCCTTACACGTTGACAGTGCAGAATGAGGAGACTGACGACTCGTTCTTAACAAAGATGGGTACACCTTAACAAACGTCGGCAAGTCTGATACCCCGATTACTTTTAAAGGGAGACTTGGTTCCTGGGACCTGAAAATTTGCTCAAAAATCAATTTTGCAAGTGTCATTTTTGTATTCTTTCTACCATCGCCTATCTGTCTGCAAATTTTAGTTGCGAAATGTCCGCATATTAGCGGCGTAACAGTAAATTAAATATGTGTTGGCACGCCCCCAGTCCTTTGAATTGAGGACAAATCGCGCTTATTTCGGCTGCCTGTAACTCTAGAACGGCCTGCTCGAACGCGGCCATTTTGGTATCGTTGAAAAACTCTCGTATTTCACTTTTTTTCTCGCTCAGTTGGGCAACACTGAGTTTGCTACCTCTTGAAATAAAAAAGAAAAAAAAAATATGCGTAATATGTTGTCATTGGCCACTTGAGATCACATGGCTAAAATGGCGCCATCCTGATTGGCTTGGCTATTCTTGGCTATTCGAGGCGTCATTTTGACTTGGGTTACGGTGATATGACGAACATGCCTGGAGGACCGAAAAAGCATTATTCGGTGTATCAGTTAGACCGAAGGCGAGTCAAAATGAAAAAACCTGCTAACAGCATGACATCACGGGTTGTCGCGACCGATCAGCAAGTGGCCGTCGTTGCTTCGGCACCCGATAACAGCGATGGAAGGTGATACCAGTCCGCTCCATAAAAGCACTACAACCAACGAGCAGGCGACTCGCAGTGTCGGGGCATCCGATATCGTCAGCGCAGGTGACAGCGGTCCGCAAGATGCGGGCATGCCATCGCGCGGCTCTACAAGTGATCAGCAAGCGATCCGCAGCGATGGAGCTGACAGCGATCAGTCCAAAAACGACCACATTCTTCGCGCCCACTCTAGCCGTGTACAAGTTGACCCTAGAGCTGTCACGAGCAGCGAAATAGTGCGAGTGCGAGTGAGCAGGACATTCTTTATAGACTTGAGTTGACACCGGCAACAGCGCGAAAGACTGCAGGTTTCACCGGTGCAAGCAACGCGTCATCGGCCTCCGCCGCAGACCCCACAGCTCCGTATGTGATGATTGACATGGAGGTCCTGAATGAGCGGCTCGTTGCTTCCCTACGTTGCAGAGTATGTGGCGGGTGCGCAAAATTAATTACGGGTTACCGCGACTACGGCCTCGCTAAAAGAGGATAGTGAAGTGCGACTATTGTAGCGAGGTCACGACGGCATCCAACTCGTGCCAAGTCAATGGTGATAAGTCCTACAATGCATTTGCGGTAAACATTTTATCCACGCTTGCGATGCTCTGCAGTGGGAACGGCCAGACAGCCATGAACAATATTTTCGCGGACAATGGGACTTGTCGCGGCGGGGGCTGCACTAATAAGACGTTTCAATCGGCACTTGAAACAAACCTTAGAACCGGCTGCCACCAGAGCTGCCGCGACCGTTATGACTCGGTGCGCGAGTGAAGTAAAGGAGTTACATGAGGCAATGTGTTTTGGGCACAAAAAGAACATCGCCGTGTGCTATGATGGCACTTGATTGACGAGGGAGCATTCCTCTCACACTGATATTGGAACGGTTGTCAAACTGTTCACTGGATATGTGATTGACCACCATGTGATGTCAAACTTTTGTTTGGTTTGTGGAAACGGCCCCAAGCTAGGCAGTGAGGGCTATAATATCTGGAAGTCAAGCCACCAGTGCCAGAAGAATTCAAGCCGTAAGTCTGGCCGAATAGGAGGTGTAGCCGGCAAAATTTTGTTCGAACGATACTTCAGCGGCATGACCTTCGTTACACTTCGGTGTTGTGCGATGGTGACAGCCAGCACATACAACGACGCCTATAAAAGAAGTGAAAATTTATGGCTACTTTGAAGTGGAGAAGGAGGATTGTGTAAATCACGTCAAGAAACGTATGGGTACTGCACTACGCAACCTAGTGCAACAACACAAGGGGGAAGGCAAACGAAGCCTTGGTGGCAAGGGGAGATTGACTGCCGAACTGATCGACAAGTTGGCTGTCTACTATGGGCGAGCACTAAAATCGCACGTAGATGATGTTGAAGCCATGAGCCGGGCAGTGATCATGTCACCTCCACCGACAGTTGCCCGAACCACCAACTGTGCCCAACTGGTGAGCAATCTTAATGCCGCCACAACGCAGCAAAGGCTAAAGGGGAGCCAGAGCTCAAGCACAAATATAATTTACCTAGTGATGTGGCTGCAGCTTTCTTGCCGGTTTACCAGCGATTGTCGGAGGGAAGACTGTTGCAAAGATGCCTCAGGGGAAAGACCCAGAACTTAAATGAGTCTTTACACTCGGTAATCTGGAGCCTACTGGCAAAAAAGCAGCACTGGTCATTGTTTGCAGTACAGGCAGCTGTAGCAGAGGCTGTGCTGCATTTTAATGCTGGTAATGAGCATGCTGCTACGGCCTTGCTAGCAGAATTGAATGTAGACATAACAGCGACTGGGTCCAACAGGGCAAGGCAAAAGGACCTGTAGCGTAGCACAAGTTCTGCTAAAAAAAGGGCAGCATCACATGGCCTTACTAAGGCAGTGAATAAAAGGCACCATGACGAAATGCATCCTGATTACTTTCTGGATCATTTTGAGATACTTTTTCTTTGGAAGGAGAGTGCGTAAATAATTTTTTTTACCTGTTTCTCCAAAATGGCATTTCTGATGGTGTCATAATGGAACGACAATATCTCTAGTTCTACTCAACCAGTCTTAACATTTCTTTTTTGTCAGAAAAGTGTACAAGTGCAGTAGGGCTAGTATAAAGCTACATATCATTAAAGAACATTTATAAAAATATTATCTTCAGAAGGTATTATTGGGTTTTCGAAGTAAATTTTGAGATGCCCTAATTTAATTCAAAATTGTTGTAAAATATTCATTCTTGCCTGATTGAACCCGTGTATCATCCTTTATCACTGCAATGTTGAAGTAATTGATATAATCATTTTTAATTTGTCTGGAAGTCTTTTTTATTTTTTCTCAAAACTGTGTTTTTAATGATCATGTAGTTTTGGGGTGATGATATCTCTGGTCATACTTATCCTATGGCATTGATTCTTGTTTTGTTAGAAAAGGGGACAAATGGGGACTGTGACAGGCCTAAAATTTGAACAAATAACATGATACAGTAAAAGCTTGTTAATTCGGATTTCACGGGACCGGAAAAACTGTCCGAATTAACCGAATGTCGAATTAAAAAACATTTAAAGGAAAAACAACATTTAAAACCAAGCTGCAGAAGCATACCTTTATTTGTTGAAGTACTTTGTAATTGTCGTCTGCGTTTTCGCGCAGATTCCGGCTGACATCACAATTTTTCTTAACTGTTCCAAATGGCCAACAGCACGCAAGCTGTCGGGAGTGTTCAGGCAAGCGTCCTCTAATATTAACAGCGCCTCCGAGACTTCCCATGAGGTGCGATGAGGTCGCGGCTGTATCTTCTCGCATGATTCTTCGTCGGAATCGTGGTCTTCATGGGCGCCCGTGACATCATTACTAATTTCTTGATCAGTCAGGAGACCACTCGTGGCGACACCATGATCAATCGCGATGTAGTCCTGAAAGGTCACATCTGTGGGAAGGACAGCATCGAAAGTCGGGCAGTCATCGTCGGTGGACTCTGCTGACACCTCCTCGATGCCATCGTCAGCTACTGCTGCATGCTCGGGCCTCACAAAACCGCTGTGCGGAAAACATTTGGCGATGACTTGCGGCGGAGTGTTTTTCCACACGTGGGCGATGGTGTGCACTGCGCCGAGTAAGTCCACTTGATATACAACTCTCCAGCTTCTGAGCATAGGATCATTCGCTCTAGCAGGTGCTTGCGGTACTTCGACTTCACGTAGTGAATGATACCCTGGTCCATCGGCTGAAGAGCAGACGTAGTGTTGGGCAGCAAAAAAACTTATTTGATGCTCTTCAGTTCGACTGTACAGTAATGGGCACTGCAGTTGTCAACAACCATAATTATCTTGCGGTCCTTCGACGTGAAGTGCCGGTCCAACTGCTGCAGCCAGCCGCGAAAAATGTCTGATGTCATCTATGCCTTCCTGTTCGCTGTGTACTCGACAGGAAGGCTTTTGACGTTCTTAAGGGGGGAGGCTACCATCGGACACCAACTTTTTTGTTTATAGAGATATCTTAATGAAATTTTCAGGATAGACTTATAGCAAAAGCATTAGAAGAACTACAAAATTTCATCAAGTTATGTTCACTGGTTTTCAAGTTACAGCAGAATATCAGGGTAGTGCACATGGTTCTCTTATTCCAGGCCTGGAGAACTTTCAAAAGGTGCTGGAACTGTGAAATTAACTATGATGATTCCCAGATTGATACTCCAGGGGGTAACAGAGCCCTTTTTTTGAATTTCCTTGCTGAAAAGTTTTAGCAGACCATCAAACTTTGTGTTCGTGATTAGGATATTATCAATCAAATTTTGATTAAATATAATAAATAACACACAATATATTGAAAAAATGGGCTTGTTACCCCCTCAGAAATTTATTCATGTACATAATAAAAAAAGACTTATGGAAATCCAATGAGTGGTTCCAGAGATATGGCTGGAATAAGCAGCCTCACTAGCCAAAAAAGTCATTTTGAGAAAACGACGTTTGAAAGTTTTGAGCACATAGGCAGTTCTAAAATGAACCTGCAGCATAACTGGAGGTGTCCTTTGGCACTCTCTTTCT